ATCGTATTAATAGTGTAGGTTTTATTGTCGAAGGTTAAGAGGCTCCTATCGTTAATGTCCTTAAACGCAAGGCTCTTCGCCTAGAAATAGAGGCCGATACGGCTACTAGTCTCGCGCTCGCTACGGAGATATAGGCTTAAGACCGTCGCTCGACCCGCAACTATAAGGTTCCTTAGGAAGTTAAGGACGAGCGCGCTAAGGCCGAAGTAGCGCGTAAGAAGGTATTGTATGCTCGCTAGGCCCTCCGCAAGGCTACTAAGAAGTATAGCGCCCCTTCTAGTACTAACTATAGTACTAACTATAGTAACTCGGATATTAATATACTAGATATACTACTAGAAGATGTCTCCTCCGAAGGCTCCTTTAGCGAGCGTAGAGATAGAGGGCTCTCGCCGATCCTATTAACTAAGAATATCTATAGTTCTTACAAGGGCGACTCTATTGCGTACCTTATTACTAAGATCGATATAGTTCCTAAAGCCGTAATAGGCGAAGCTTCTACTGCCCTCTCTATCTATTAATAGCTCGACGACCTTAGTAAGCTAGGAGAAGAGCCGTTCTCTATATATGCTAACTATATTAAGAAGGCCGCTAAGGTCTATAGTCTCTATACTAGTACTAAGGCGAGTGTCCTCGTCGGCCGCCTATTAAAGATTAGTCGTAAGGTTCCTAATTAAGACGCCTTCGCTGCCCTTAAAGCTAATTAGGCCTATACTAACTAGTTTCCTAGACGCCCTATTGCCGCCCCGATATCTCTAGGACTCTACGCGTTTAACCCTACTAGTGCTATTACTCGCGCCCTTACGCTAACGGATCGCTAGAGCAAGTTCGTTACCGGTATCCTTAGCTAAGGCACTTCCTTCGACCGCTTTCGCTAGACTAGTAATACTATCTTCCCTTAAGTCTTTAGCTAGTTATAAGAGCCTCGTAGAGTATATCTTCCTTTCCTTATCGACCTAATATAGGAGGAGTTTGAAATGTACCTTTAGTATATACGTGCGATACCTAAGTCTAAGCAGGAAGGCCGCAATGCCCTTTAAACTTATAGTATAAGCAACTAAATCGTCCGCTAGCACCCTACCCTATAGCTCTTAGCTATCGCCCTTCGACCTAATTACGTATACAAGCTTATCTCCGTCCCTAAGCCTACTAAGTTCTTTAAGGTTAGCGGTACTTACGAAAACTGTCCTTCTAAGGAGTCTGCTCGTCTCGGATAAGATATAGTTAAGCTCGCAGCTAGCGAGGGTGCTAGTTACCTACGTATTAAGGTCTGCCTTATATCTAAGGATAAGACTAGCTACTCTACTATTGTCGAAGGTATATATTAGCCCGAGGTCTTTGCGAACTAGGTTAAGAAGCTTAAGGCTCGTAGCCTAGTCCTACTAACTAAGATCGGTAAGCTTACTAATAAGTACCTTACCGACGACGACCTCGACTACATATTCGATAGTTAGCCTAATAGTAAGGGGCGCAAAGCGGAGTAGATCCTTAACCCTCTAAAGGAGTGCGAGGTCTCTATTTAGATACTATATCTACTATATAGTAATCTAAAGACTAAGAGTAACCGTATATTAATTAACCTAGGCTACTCTCGCGTTATTAACGGCACTAAGGTTAAGGGCTACGAGAACTTAACAGTCTCTTAGGTTGCTAAAGCGTACCGCAATCTAACCGCCCTCCTAGCCTCTAACTCCTTCGTACTATTCGCTTTCCCTACGGCTATCTTAGTCGAAGGCCTCGGCTACATCTCCGACGCTCTAGTTAGTAGGATTCCTTAGTTAAGTTACGTTGTTTAGAACGAAGTTAAACAGATCCTCTAGCTTAATAACGAGGGACTAAAGGAATATCTATACGATTAGGAGAAAGCTACGACGGAAAAGGCTATTAACCTCCTCGTTAATTAAGCTTTCTACGAGGGATAGTACTTCGGTACTAATAGCTTCAACGCGTGCGGAGGAGATTTCGAGAGCCGACTAGCAGATAAGGTTATTGCTAGTAAGGATTACGGCGCGTTAAAGCAATAGTAAGTCTGTATAGTGTTGCTTAGGAAGTTGTTTTTGTATAATTATAGTATCTAGGATTAATGCTACCCCGGGGGTATTATTGCGGAGTTCTAAGAATAGCCTTAACTAAGAACGCTAAGGATGCATATATATTTGTTTTAAGCGCGCGATGTAAAGCGTATCTAGTCAGATACGAAGAAAGGGAGGGATATTAGCTAGTAACCGGCCCTATACCTATAGGCCAGTTTTGAGCCTATATAAGAGGCCTCCTTCTATATTGTAGATAGAGCATCAACCTCGTACAGCACATTGTTTATATTACACTTCTATAATGCCTATATTGCAGGGCTCTAGTTATTAGCCCAAGCGATAGTCTCGTTATCCTATCTTGCTAAACATAGCTGCCTATATTGCTATAGGTTATGTTACCCTCGGTAGCCTATACTATTGCTACAAGTAGTAGTAGTAGTATTAGTTTCCGTCCTTTACTAGAAGACAGTAATTAAGAGAATAACTAGCCGCTAGTAGATGCTACAACTAATAAGGAGGTAACTAATAACGAGTTGTAATATAGCTAAGTTAGCTTTAACACTTTGGCTTAGTCTACATTTAACTACAACCGTTAGAAAAATTCCGGCTATATATAAGAAGCATAATTAAATAGTATAGATCTATATAGGACATATAAATTAATTAGTATCCTTTAAAAGTAGTGCATTCCGACTATACTATCGATATTAGTAATATTATAGACTAATACCGGAAGTCGCTCGGACTCGCTTCGCGGGGTCGGCAAAACTCTCGGCTATACCTGCGGCAAAACTAAGCCAACTTTATATACTAAGAACACTATATAACACCGTTCTCTCTATATAAATAAGGGCGCTATCTTTCTAGTCGATATTGTCGGTATATTATAAAAAAAAGATCGTGCTAATTAGTATAGTAGTTGCTTAGTAATTCGATTTAGTGCTAAAAGCCGGCTTGTAGACTATATATCGGACCTCTAGCTACAGCTCGAAGCTCGAGCGACTTTACGAATTCGAGCAAATTCTATACCTAGATTTATAATATAATAACTATATATCCGATTAACGTTATTCTTTTTTTAAAAAGTACTAAACGAGCTAGTTTCTACGATAGGAAAGAAATTACTATAATAGCGTTAGTATAGGCGTATATAATAATTAGCATTATCAAATCCGAAGGAACGCTAAACTAAGCTCGGAGCTTACCGAGCTTCCGAGCTAGCTTAAAGACATAGCTTAGCGGCAGAGTCTGCATTCCGGAGGTAACGACGGCGAGCAGGTGTTTACTATATAATAGTCGTACCGACGGAATTTTTATATTACTATATAGCGCCGACCCTAAGCTTCTATTCTATATAATAATAATATATATAAGTAGTATATATAGCTTATAATCGCTAGTATAGATTTTCTAGTATATAACAGCTCTTAAAGATAGCTATATAGTCAACCCTATTGCTAAATTAACGATAACCGAGGCGTAGAAACGCCTTAAATTTCGAGATCTAGTCGTCCTCGCTATAAGTTAGTATTAACTAATAGTAGCGCCTTATCTAGTATTTTAATAGCCTAAAGGTCTTCTTAATTAGTATATAATTAGGCGAATACGGCGGTAGAAACACTACCTTTATACCTGCCTACTCGTAGTATAGGTCGACGATAATATCGCGACTATAGGTTGCGCAGTTATCTATAATAATTACACTTCGTAGACCTAGAAAGCGACTACACTTCGGTAGTATACTAAATTAGAGCTAGTAGATAAAATCCTCCGTCTTTATACTGCCCTATTTAACTAGCTTATCCTCGAGATAGCCGTCTATTATATAAGCTAGTAAGAGACTAAACCTCTCGGAATAGTAAAGGTGTTGCTTATCCCTCGTAGGTATACCTTTTAGTACCTAACCTCTTCGTCGGTAAGCTACTTTATCGCTTATATACGTCTCGTCGATATAGACTATTTAGTACGCTACTAGCGTCTATATATACGCCTTATATATCGCCCTTGCGACTAGGTCTCTTTAAAGGGCCGTTCGCGATACTAACTTATATAAGAATTGCTTATTATTTAATAGGCGCGCAATCGTCCTATCTAATACCTATATTCTTATTTCCTTAAGCAGATAATACTATATTTCCTTATATTACAGAGTCGGCGTCTTAACTAATAACTCGAGTATAAAATCGCGCGCCTATAGGTTGATTGCTCAAGGTCGACCGCCCTTCTTCGGCTATATATCGCCTATATTCTTCTACTACTTAATTTGTACGTAAATAGCCGTCCGCGAGCCTCGTCTATCCGCTAGTAATAGCTTTACAACCTCTTCTAGCGGCTAGAGGTCGTCTAAACAGTGCTAGATTAGGTTATTATCTTGTCTAGTAAGCCGAGGTATAGCAAGAGCGAGGAATGCGTAGAAACGCGTAGAATTCGGTAAAAATCGATAAGAATTAGTAGGTAGTAGTAACAACACCTTAATATAGTCTATACTACTAAAAAAGCGACGACATATAGTACAGAAAGAGCGTTGGGAAACATAGAGAATACGATTATCGATTACTATAGAGATTGCTAACAAATAGTAGTAGGGGTTCCCCCGCAATCCCGACCCTTTTGACTCTTAGAATATCTACCGGCCAAGCCAGCAATAACAACAATATCCGCAGCCATACCATCATCTTGCTACCCCCATGGGCCCCATCGCACTCTTCTCTTCACCCCGGCGTGTTGACATTATCGCCTCCCCGCTTCCTGCTCCACTATGACTATGGCGAGACGCACAAACAATTATTAATGCGAAGGCGGAGCATGGCCCGCTATGCTCAGTCGGTCGTGCCCCTTGAGGAGACGAACGGATCATTTTCGGGGCTACAGTGGGATGTGCGTATCCACGAGTATGAGGAGTCGGGGTATGGCGATGCCGTCCGATGACTTTTCACTTCGAAGGCTGCCTGCGAATGTCTCCAAGTCATGGCGTTCCTGAAATTGGCTACTGCCTTCCTTCTGGCAGTCTCATCTTCTGCTACGCCCTCAGGCCATCATCACGAAGAGCCAGACTGGCAAATTCTGGTTGGTGGACAGAATACAACCGTCAAGCCTGCCTTGATCTCAGGCAATGGCAAGCTGAATGGCGGACGCGGCACAGTCGACATCACAGACATCAGCGAGAGGATCACCAAAGTCTCCATCAACACGACTTACGACTTTGTCGGCGCACGTTTTACCGCCAATGAATCGGAAAGGTTTTTCGGTGTCTGGGAGTACCCCTGGTCTGGTAGTCTAGACAATGCTGGCATTTCCTACGACTTCAAGGGCATTGGCAATTCTAAAGGTGTCCACTGGGCAAACGCTCGAGCCCCGTTCTTCTTCTCTGATGCCGGATGGGCTGTCTACGCCGATACTCTAACGATGGGCTCGTTCAACTTCAGCGTGCCTGTCCATCCGCAGTTTATATTCAACACCAGCAGCCTGGTATACTACATCATCAAATCTGATCGCAAGAATGAACATGGCATCAAAGGCATCTTGGAGGACTACGCCAAGATAAGTAATACGATTGGCATGCCGCCTGATTCGAGTTTTGGCCCGACTTTCTGGAGTGATGACTTTACGCAAGACTTTCACGAAGGCGTGACTAATGCCGAAGAGAACTATTACGATGTTGTCAACCACCTGTACGACAACCAGATCCATGCGACGGCGATGTTTGCAGATCGGCCATACGGCACTGTAAGCGCTTCCGTATCACTCTCGCTTCTGCCTCAAATGCTGACGTCGTGTTTCTAGGGTAATTACAGTGAGTGATTCTTCCCTCTGACATTCGAATGAGCTTTCTGACTTGCTCTCAAGGCTACGGCAATTTCGACTTCGATCCTGTCTTCTATCCGAATCCTCAGGAGTTCATCGCGAACCTATCCTCTTGGGGCTTTGATTTTCAAGTCTGGGCAGCGAACCGTGCATTCTACCAGACCGAACTCTTCAACACAAGCGACGAAAATGGCTGGCTGTTCCCTGGAATCGATCCAATCTTCTTCCGAGGTCCAGCGCTCAACCTCAGCATACCTGAGGCGTACGAATATTTCAAGCAACGTCTCGAGTACTTCCCATCAATCGGCGTCAAAGGTTACAAGATCGATCGAGGGGAGGAGGAAGAAATGCCCGGTAAGTAAAGAGAGCTGATGATATTTATGGGCGTTACTGAGAGGTCCTAGTGTACGAGCAGAATATCCAGATGACTCTCTTTGAGCAATTGTGCTACGAGACCATGATAGAGAAATGGGGAGAGAACGTCTTCTACAATTTTGCTCGCAGCGTAGTCGATAGGTCTCGGTCGACCACAGCGGTCTGGAATGGCGACAGCTGGGCGAATTTCACCGGACTTTCGTACAGTGTGGCTAGTGGCATTCGATCAGGTCTCATCGGCTTTTCGCAATGGGGCAGCGATACGGGAGGCTATATTCGCAAGTCAGCGGACCCTAACGAGGCAGTTCCCAGCGAGGAAGTATGGGCTAGGTGGATGTGGTTCAGTGCCTTCTCTCCAGTGTACGAGATCATGATTGGCACGAATCATACGCCATGGTATCCGCCGTACACCAACGATCTTGTGCAGGTGCTTAAGCAGACGACGGACGTGCATCACGAGCTGTTGCCAACCATCAAGTCGTAAGTACCTTTCGAGAAACTTGATAGTAGGTTAGCTCGCTAATCTTCTGGCTATAGATATACATACCAGGCACACAAGACCGGCCTTCCAGTGATGCGAGCCGCTTTCCTGGAAGCACAGAATGACCCCAAAGCTTTCGAAATTAACGACGCATACTTCTTCGGAGAAGACCTGTACACCGCGCCAATCGTCACGGCAGGTGGTGAGCGTTCGATCTACTTCCCGAACACAGGCCGGAAGTACCTCGAATACTTCGAAAAGAAAGAGCTTTACGAAGCCGGCACTACTACGAGTGTCTCCATCGACACGAACACCACACCAGCATATATTCTGGAGGGCGGAATCATCGTCAAAGGTGATATCTTGCAGGGTAACAATAAGTGGACCGAGGACTGGAAGCCTTCCCTGACCATTGAGATCTACCCATCGCCAAAAGTGAGGACCAAGCAATCCAGCTACTACACGGGTAGCAAAGAAGTCCTCATCAAAGCGCACACGGATGCCAGAGCACGACATGTGAAGGTAGAATATGGGGCGTTGGAGGTCGCGGGTACCATTGTTCTATTCACGAAGGACGGCAATAGAACGGTGGAATTGTGCGCCGAAGGCGGCACGGCAAGCTTTGAAGATGTGACCAGCCTGTTCGACGAATAGATGAGAAAAGAGATATTTGAGCTCATTTTGAAGAATCAAGACCAATGAGGTATGTGGTCTTGATGTAGAGTTTGGAAAAACGACAGGAATATACATACTGCCAGGCACGGCATATACACAGTACGGTATTCTTCTTCTCGCCACTCTCGTGTTCATACGAAAACGACCCATAGAATCAAATCTCCTAGAAACTCATCGTGCTCTTCACAAAGGTCTCGAAGGCACAGCAAGGTCCCAAGCTAGGCGGAAGAATATACCCAGCTGCATCTTAAAACAAATAGGACTTCTCCTTGCAGACTTACATTTGGACTCAAGAAGCCGTAACACCAGACCCTACATGCTCGGATAGACTGATCTCTGAAATCGATCACAACTGTGTACCTGCCTGCATCACAAGCGAGAATCTCGATGTTAACGGGATGTGATCGACTACATGCACACGAAACCACGTGCTAATGCTATAGGCTGCCTGCATCATAGGTACGAGTCTCAATGTCGATAGGATGTGATCAAGTGATCAACTACATCCACGAAACCACGTGCAAATGCTATAGGCTGCCCGATGAAAACTGCCATGTCCGATCCCTTCCCGTGCGTGAGGAGGAACGAAGCCTGATCCTACTATGCGGGAGACAACGAGACCCGACAGTTGCGAGAGCACTGTCAATGTGTGGATTTGATTTGACACGCTGTATTTCGTTGTAAAACAGTGCTAGCTCTTGAATGCCGTCTGAGATCTATGCGCGAAGCGATCTTGTGTCACCCTGGTCTGAGCCGATATAGCATAGAGGTATCATGAAGCTTGACATGAGAAAACAGCTTGTGTGCTGGCTGCTGGTGTCGGTCGTGGTGAACGTGCGTGTTGGGAATTGGTGCGAGTGTCTTCACTGGGACTTCTGGAGGCGTCAGTTACGGTGTCAGAGCTGGCCACTACTGTATGCTTCTCACACAGCTTCGTTTCAGTATGAAGTGTGCCATACTGTAGCTGGATATATCATGAATCGATGGGTTGCGCAAAGGCGCGTTGGAAAGAGAGAAGCAAGCAGTGAGTGAGATGCAGAAGAGAAGGTCCACCGTCCATTGGAATGGTGAGAGCTTGGCACGGAGTCCAGACTTCGACTTCGGCCTCACCCATCTCCAAGGCATTCGATCTTCCAAGCCCACCTGTATACCGCCAGTCCTTTCCGAGAATGCCTTTCGAGATCTACGCAGCGATTGCTGTTCTGGTTGTTGCAACCGCACTGCCCTCCTATCCGATCCGGCCATTATCGATCAAGTCCGAATGTGCGACCTACTGCCATGATCTCGCGTCGTCGACAGTCGTTGAGATGACGCCAAACACAAACCGAGTCGGCCTGCAAATCGCAAAGCGGTCGCGAATAGCGGGCGGTTTTTTATCGAGCTCGTCCCGGAATTGGCTTGACGGCGTGGACGCATCATGGCAAAGAACGATCGCGGAGCGGAGCTGTTATACAGCGAATTTCTCAAGAGTCTGAATGAAGCAAATACAAAATTGGTAAATTGTGTAGCAGGAGACCATGCGCGCACCACGCGCGTACGAATCTCGGTCCTGCCCAGCGCGTAGATCAACATCAGTATTTCATCGGGTATCGCCGGATAAAGATGTACCTAAGGTATACTCCAGTCGTTTATTAGAGCTCTCCCCACGATCCCATGCTTCGAGGACAAGGATCTGGCCCTGCTATTAGTCAGGTCAACCTTGGGCGAAAAGTTACCGCTCACTCTTCTCTCATGCGAGCTTGGACGGTGGTAAGACGTCCACTGGCAACTCTCTCCCCCATTCGACTCTCCCATCGGCAAGTCTACACACACAAGAGAGAGAGAGAGAGAGAGCCAGCGTTGACCATGGGATCCATCGATCAGACCTACGGGGTCTTCCGCTATGTTGAAGCCGATCTATCCATAAACGCGGAGGATCGTGCCATATACGCGCCACCAGCGCCGAAACGGATCCAAGAAGAGACTCTGCCTGTGCATAACTTTTGGATTTCAGACGATGCCGCAAAGGGGAACGAAGGCCTCGATGTACAAGCCTTCACTTATATTAAACACACTTCGGTCCTGTCCGGCGATGAGTTCTTCGAAGGGACCAACTGCGAAGATGTATACGCCCCAGAGTGCATCGAACTGATCTTGAAACTCACAGGAGCGAAGCGCGGCGTTGTGCATAATGTTGCGTTTCGGAGGGATCTGGCTACGAAGCAGACGGACTTATCGTTCGTGCCGCCCAGAGGAGGAGCCATGGACCAGGCGATAGCGAAGCTTCCCAAAGATCGACTATTAGGTATGATGCGCTGAGGTGACAAACGTCAATGCTTCTAACTAAAACCTGGTCATTCCCAGTCACCGGTCGAGAGGGCAAAGGTCCAAATGAACCAGCCCGCCAAGCACATGTCGACATGACACTCGAGGGCTTCCGACGTACTTTCCGCGAAGCCCGCCGGGACATCACAGCAGCAGCACAGCACATCATTGACGCGGAAGAACTCAAAGCTACCGGTCACGATGTCAAGGTGCCACGATACGCCAGTTACAGCGTGTGGCGTCCACTGAAGACAGTCAAGCGTGATCCCATCGCCGTCCTTGATTGGCGTTCCGTCGATAAAAGCAAAGAGATTCAAAAGACCGAGAACCGAATCCCGAGCGAGATGAATTCCTCTGGTGACTATGTCATCGAGGCCTTGACCGCCGTGCCTCCACAACATCCTGAACATCACCGATGGTATTATGTTCCAGAGCAGAAGCCGGATGAGGTTCTCATCATCAAGTTTGCAGACTCGGCTGCGGAAGATAACAAGGATATCGCAGAGTTCTGCGTGCATGTGAGCCCGGAGATTCCCGGGACTGAGAATGAGGAATGTCGACAAAGCGTTGAGTGTCGGGTATATGCCTTTTGGGAATGAAAAAGCTTCGTCCCGTGGGCATCGATGTTGGAACTTAGGAAAACCAGAATGTGCGGAACGAGAAAAACAAGGCGTCGTCGAATTCTACACTGTACTACACTCGACAACAATCTCCCCTTCACCATCAGGCTGTTCAAAGCCCTGGACATACATTTCGAAAATTTCTGTCGATATTTCTAACGCCGAGTTAGCGTTGATCTCCATCTCCCTCCTGCGCTGGATTCTTTCCCAAAGCACTTCACGCGGCACCTTCAGATGTACCAGTACCCATCTGCCGCCATTCCGCTCTATCATTCGTTTGAACTCGTCTCGGTCTTCCTTGGCATAGAAGGATCGGTCCAAAACCACATCGGATTCGCCATTGGCGAGGAAAGTTCCGAGAGATTGTCGGAAGATGATGTCCGCTTCGTCCTGGTATTCGCTATATTTGTCTGGGCTGTAGTCGATGTTCCAGATGCCGTGCCGTAATGCCACGATCTCGTCGATGGACAATCGTTGCATGCTAGGTTTCTGTCGCAGGAGTTCTTTGGCGAGTGAGGTCTTGCCGGCGCCTGCTATGCATAAATCAAAGTGCTTCTGCATAATGCATGGTGTGAGGATGATGTAGTACCTGCTATGCCACAAGTCATTAGGACTACTGGTCTTGGGTCTTCGGGAGACCTTCTCAAGCTTGATAGAAGTTCATGGACGACCTCTGTCGGGCTGCCCTGTCGAAGGCTCATCATGATAAAGCTGAACGGCTCAGAAACCCAGTATCCACGTCAATATCTGTCGATGAGGGACGTGTGACTAACGATAGAAGTACCTAGACCATGTACCGAATGACTCATCTCGCGCTTCAGATCTTGCCATTCTTGCACATAATACCGGGCAAGTCTGCAGATCTTTAAGATTATTTCCAGATCTTACCATCATGGACCACGACGCAGTCCTTGACTTCCGGGTCGTACATTCTGCCTTCGACGAAAGCTGTCATGCCTTTTCGATTTATGGCCTGCAGCGTTTGGATAGTACTTCCAGAGAACCATGCAACGTGGCTAGTGACGAGCAGATTCGGCACCTCCTCTTCGCCCTTGCTGAGGTCTGGTAAGAGCGGCGACGTACCGGGTCCGCCAGGCTCTGTATCAAGAACATCCGTAGCAGCACCAAAAATTCTGCCCTCGCGGAGAGCAGTAGCTAATGCAGCTTCATTGACGATGCCACCTCTCGCCATGTTCACCAAGAGTGCATCTCGACGCATAGTCTCGAGTTCTGCTTTACCGATCAGGTTGATCGTGTCCTGATCACGCGGACATACAAGTACTATAGTGCTACTCCGCTTGAGCACGTCTTCGAAAGCGACTCGACCGCCTCTGGTGGTAGTAACACCTCTTCGCTCCGCGACCAGAATCTCTTTGAACCCAAGGGCTTTGCAAAGCATCTCGATCCGTTTGCCCAGGGCGCCATAGCCAATGATGCCAAGAGTTTCTTGCTTGCAGCCAAGAGGCGGACCAGCAGGCCAAATTTTCTTGGTAAGACTGTTGGTTTGTATCCACTCATGACTGGTCTTGACATTGCGATCAATGACCCCAACCCTCTTCCGGCTTGCGAAATATAAGGCAAGGAAATGCTCTGATACCGCATCGATGTTTGCACTAGGTGCATTGATGACAGAAATGCCGCGTTTGGCGCAGTACTCCTTATCGACCCAGCCCATACCGGTTGCGAGGACCGCTAGCAGCTGAAGATGAGGTGCAGCGTCCATATCTGATGGTTTCACGTCCACCACATTCGAGATGACAATCGTAGCTGGCTTGATTCTCTCCTTGATCTCACCCGGACTGGTCTTCTGGTACTTGTCCATTGTGTAGTCGAACGGCATAGTTGCCAAGGGCAGGTGTACTGCTTCCAGAAATACAATGTGATGTTTCTCGTATCCGGGTGGAAGGGGCGGTAGCTGTTGGATCGACCAAGTCTCCTCTCCATCGATCGTACAGGCTCCATATCCAGCCATTGTCTGAAGTGTGCGGCTCTCGAGAGGTCCGTCTCAATGATTCTCGACGTCCTCGTGGCTATATCTCATGCCTCAACAGCCATTTGCACAGCCGACGGTAGGCGTAGCTTGTAGAGGTGCAAAACAGCATTGAAGCTGCCCACCGGCCGAAGTGCGGGCGCTCAGATGAGACCCACACCTACGCAACGCGCCTTGGCGACCGAACAGTGCCAACATCACCTCCTTCGAGGTCGACATCCTCCTCTTCGTGTTCGAAAATTGACTGGTTGATATGAGCAACTCACTGAGCAGATCGACAATGAGGTCTTCTCTGTCGCGGAGACAGGCCCGCCCACTCCGAATACCTGCCTCTCCTACTGGTATCGGATCTCGCGGCAAAGGATTTGTGTCAGCAACGCCCTCACGGCCTGCAGACTCATGGCACCGCATATCGATAGTCATTTCCAGGCTATTCAGTCCACGCTCCTTCGCTGAGCCCACACGACAATGCCGACGAGATCCTGTCTTCTGCGTGCGAGATAAAGGCCTAGATGCTGAAGGACCATAACCTGCTGCTCCGAGCGAGGTCTTTCTCAGACCAAGTTACATGTATCTGGCGATGTGCCGAGGCATTTCTTCTCTGGAGATGCTGTCGTTTCATAGGTCCAACGGCCCTGAATCGGTCTCAAGCACCAATTGAGATCTGGCCTTGGCGGATGACGCCGGGATGTCCGTGATATGTAAGCTTCACCTGCATCGACTGTGACGAAAGAAATGCAAGCAAGCTCCGTATGATCCGCGTCTTCATAAGTCGCGTGCCTCGCCATTGAGGCGTGGGGACAATCCTTTGACTTTCTTTCAGCTCAAAGCCCGTTCTCAAAAATGTGTTCCCGAACACTGACGATAGCATCTCTCGTGGCCATTGCCAGTTTAGTGACCGCGCAGAATGCGACTCTGGAGACAGGACCAGGCCCGTACCCTTCTGGAGAAGCCTCAAGGTTCGCAAATGCCAGCGCTCAGGCAAGCAAGACTGTCAAGTTCGATCTCTGGCCGTCGCAGACGAACAACCCAGCGCCAACATGGAGTTGGGAGACGAGAATCGAAGAAGGCACTGTTGAAGACTCCGAGATTCCTAATGCCGTTCAGCTCAATACGGTATTCTCTTTCTCATGGGGCGACGGGGATTTAGCCTCCACCGTAGCACAGCACATTGGACAGCTCGATCCGCAAAACTTCTGCGTTACCGTTGTCGACAGCCTCTTCCCAGCAGGCACAACAAATGCTTATGATACGGACACCGAAGACAATGCTAGTGATGGTAGCTGTTCCAAGCCGCTGAGAGGCCGATGCTTGGACGCCATAAACGACGCTTTCGCGAAAGCCGATGCAGATGAGAATGGATGTCGAGGTGGAAATCTTGACTTATCCTCAATTCATCAATGCGATTGGAGTTTCGAGCATCACTACTCAGCTTCCACATACAGCGCGTACATCTTTGATCAAACCAACATGAAAGTGTCCACTGACAATCCTTAATCAGATCTCCTACGAAATTCCACAGCCGCTCAAGCCGCCAATAACACGTTTCCCCTTCAAAGCGGTGAAGGTTTCGCGCACATCACTAGCGACACGTTCGACAGCTCCAACCAGACCCTTGTGACTCGGCAAGAAGGCAAGCTTCAGATGATCATCATCGATTCTGGAAATGTCCATCAGCCCTTGTGCATGCGAGTGAATGCCAGTGAGCATGCGCGTGGATACGCTACGGGGGCGCTCGGCAACTCTGGCAATAACGCCGGAATCAACTTCTGGCTTATTGGTGCAGCTGGAATCGCCGCTCTGGCTTACATGCTTTGAGATGACCTCGTCCTAATCGATCAGCGACACCTGGTCATTGGCAAGGTTGTTCATCAGCACCAGTCGAATGGAAGAGCAATGATCGTGGGAGTGTAGCACGGATAACAGATGTACATATCAATGAATTAATTCCATGTAATAGAATTATGACATGTCAACAACATATAAGCCTGAAGGGGCATTCGCGTTCAGCTCTATCCAAGCATTTGCTGGACTACCTTTAGGGAGCCAAGGCTAAGCTTTGAGGCATTGAGGCATATCTATCATTTCATGAGAGCCACCTTGGCATTCGAAGATCAAACGATGTTTCACTCCGTAGCAGCGGGTACGACCAAGCACCATGATCTAGCCAGAGCACAGGTCTCCACGACCTGATCATCAACATCTAGGCATTTCTGCTAGGCGGATGTGATCTGACAGGTTCCTTCGTGCGCCCTCATATCACAAGCTGGGCCACACGACAGCTCAGAGTTCCAAGCATGACCACGATAGAGAAGCAAGCACTTCTAGTCTTGGCGAAGGAGAGTTGTCCTGCATTCACAAAAATGTATATCAACTTGCAGCGTTCGCTGCTCGACCTGTCGCAGCCTTTCATCATGATCGCATGTCAACCTCGACTCTCGGCAACACTTCGGATGCTTTATTGTGTTTGCAGAGATCTTCTTGGCAGCAACAATGAACGAACAGACCAAGGTATCCGGAGGGTGGGCGGCAGGAATGGAAGCCGCGGATAAGGCTGCCATTGCTTTCTTGCTCAGAGTGTGGCCACAGTCTTGGCGTGCGTAGCTGCATCGAGCCCTCGCATTGCGGATGTCATGTCTGAGCAGGTGGTGGTGGTGGTGGTGGTGGTGGTGGTGGTGGTGGTGGTGTTTCTGCAGTCGATGGTGCAGAGATACCAGTCTTTACTCTTGGTAGAGGCGCCATGCTGACCATCTTTTCGACCGTGCTGTGCATAGCATACCGCTTGCCTCAAGTTGGGGTTTTCGGAGCGACTTGGATCTCATCGACTTCGATCCGGGTCTCACTGCTGGTCTCTGTGACCGAGTCCTTGGCATCGATGACATCGACTTTGATTTGCGGATCTGATGTGTTCTTTGGCATTGGATTTGGATCCTTACTGACATCCCAAGGATGTGCTTTCCAGCACCCTTCCGGGAAGTCTTCCTCGCAGTTGAAAATGCGGAATGGATTTCGGCGCTTTTGCAAAGCTGGCTGTGGATATGGTGTTATTGGGACCGAGACCGCGCCGACGCGTGAATTGCGAGAGCATGAGCAATTCGAGTTGTTGGGTGTGTATCCCCCGCTGTCGAGCGCGGTGGCCCAGTGAAGTACCAGGATGCAGAATAGGACTACAAGTCGTGTTAGCGAGCGGCCAGTTGTAGATCATAGACTAATTCAACGCACTGTCCGCATTGCAAAGCATGAGGCAAAGCCATCCCGGCTCTCCTCCGACGGCCATGAGAACTGTCAGATTCACAACGCTTGACGCCAATGTTACGCAGCTGCCAACGAAGGTCCGGAGGGCGAGGCTTCTCATTTTTCCAGTTCCGTGTCGATAGCTGTACATTTCTGCCACAATGTTTGGTCAGTCTGGCATTGAAGGTGATTCGTCAGAGTACTACTTACTGCGTAAAGGTATGATGAAGAGGATATTGAGATACCCGTTCACAACAACCTCAAAGATAATAAGAGGCATCATCGCGCGCTTCTCCATCCCAATGATGCATTTCCCTTTCGTGTCAATGAACGATATCCTCCTACGTCGCCCATCAGCCATTCCGAGCTTAGAAGACAGCTGAGGCTGTACGTACCAGATAAAATTGAGGACCACAGCAATTGCATATGGTAGGAGCATACCAAAGCAGTTGAACAGGTATAGACGCGACTCTCTACGCCGCTTGAGACCTCCTCTCACGATCCACTGGCGTGAGTCAGCAGGTGGTGCAGCAATAGCATGTTTGGATGGTACGACATACTGCTTTCTCGACCAAGAAGGTGTAGATCAGCACTTTGGTGCTCATGTAGCAGACCAAACACAGCAGGATCGCGCCATCACAAAGGCCTTCGGACGTGTTGATGCCGATGTGCTTGATTAAGGCGGTAGTAAATATGAAGAGGAACGAGTCAATGTATATGACGAGTAGGAGCAAGGCAGACAGCGGTATGCGGTTCCACTTCTGTATCCGCTCCAGACGCCTGGTCAGACATGCTCCGAGAACCGGGAGTGTGATGAGGTTCAAGACCATCTAACGTTACAGTCATCATAAGCGAGCCGGTCATTGCTCTCGTGCGGAAGCTAGATGCGTTGACTTACCGATGTTATTTTCGCAGCTGGCGGCACCGGAGCTGGCGTGTAGGGACCATCAGCAGGCTTAGGGTCGCCGAAGAGGCTGCGAACTAGTATGTGCCCAGGCGAGATCTCGTCCATGGCAGTACAGAATCGCGTATCGGATTCCTAGTTTGACGTTTGAACGCTGAGGAAAGGGCTAGTTCTATCTCAAGCAGTGGTCGAGAATGAAAGCGCACCGTCTTCTGCAACTGGTCAGGCCACCAAGCTCAAGCTCAACAACGGCACCTCACGCTTTTGTGGTGGAGGATTTTCGTGCCGAGATAGCAGGCTTTGGTGGCGCAGGGTATTTTGCGTGCAGAGCAACGGCGAATGCCTACCAAGCAGGTGGAACGCGAGACACGAGAAGCCAAAAGGAAGGTGTCAATCAGCTGTATTCTATCCTTTCTTTCCGTGGCCACAGTAGTTGGTGATCTTTGCGAGCGCTCTGGTAGAACTAGGCGGGCTCGCGGTCAACGAGTCCAGTCTCCCGATAAAGCATTGCCGCAGTGGCACAAGGTTAAAGGTCGAGACGATATTGAACCTACTAATGCGGAAGTGTACGGCGTCTTCGCGCATCGGAGGGCTATTACTTTTACGCTTAACAGTGAAGCCGAGTTTTCAATTGGCCCAAACCCTTGCTAGCCCCGAATGGGGGAAAGAGATAGCCTTCCGATGCGCGAAGACAAGACGCTGTATTCGTCCTCGGGCAGGGAATTTGGGCAGGGTTCTCAAGTCAATGCCACGTGAAGTCCAGCTCGCACCAATGCGGGACGTTGACGTGACGTGAACGTCGTTCGGTACTGCCGCATTTGCCAGATCGTCATGGGGGCAGTCGGGACAAGGAATATGTATTTAATGACGAACCATTCGCGTGATCGTAAATCTCGATTTCTTCATGAAGAGTACATGCACCAATGCCGGTGGCGATGGGGTAGTTTGCGTTGCATTCTTGGTAGAGTAACTGGAATTGTCGGTGAGACAAGTGAAGACGAAAGAGCAAGTGTGTTGGCCGCTGGTATACCAGGTATTGTCTCAGCTTTTCTACACGAGTCTTGATTCTGCAGCGCGAGCGTGGAAGTGTGAGATACTTACCGTATAGACTTTCCATGGGCAGCCTCCTCCTTTACGGCACAAGTGACAACACAGTATGCCCCCAAGTATTGTCGTGTTCTCCGCGCGATGTGTACTCATCAATCTTGAAGAGAAGTCATCCTCTGAAATTTTGAAGGTCTCTCAAACCTTGCCGTCTCGCTGGCCAGGTTCAAAACTGTAGGAGTTGTCCAGTAAGGCGAGCAACCACCGCTCGAGCGAAGTCAAGCTGTCTTGTTCACCCGCATCGACCCCTTTGGGCAAAATCATCTTGTGGAGTAGTGCCTGACTGATCTCTCTCCCATCATGTCTCTAGAACACCACATCGGGTCTTCAGAAAGCTGCTACAGAAGAGCTCCCTCCTTCCCAACTTCCACGACCTGATCACTTCCGTTGTACTTCGGGATATCAAATCCATACTTCTCAGCGATCCTCTCTCCTACAAACCTTCCACCAACGAATTGCCTGCCCTTGAACCATTTCACCAGCGGTTTCGGCGCAGTAAGACTGATCAAAGCAGTAGGCATATACCCCTTTCCAGGCCCATCATCAGGTGGACCATCCTCAATGTTCCAACTACTAGGCGCATCGACTGCTAGAACCGGCACTTGCGTCTCCGCCAAAGCTTTGATCACAGAAGGAAAAGGTTCTCTCACTTCCCCAGAAAACGAGAACCCGAAAATAGCGTCGACGACACAGTCGCTCTTCTCCAGTTCGGAATGGAAGTCTTCTGTGAATGAAACTTCAAGGTGTTGAAGTTGCTTTACCAGACGTCTGTAGATTTCTGCTTTGCCTTGCTTGGGGAAGTAGATGCTGGGTTTGTAGCCGAAATGGTGTAAATGGCGAGCTGCGACCAGACCGTCTCCGCCGTTGTTGCCTGGTCCGCATGCTACTAGGACTTTTGATGATTTTGTTGGTGGTGAGAGGATATGTAGCGCTTGAGCAACGCTCAGACCGGCTAGCTCCATCAATTGGTCGATTGTGAAGGCACCGGTTGACATGAGTTCTTCATCCAGAGCAGCGGCGGCTTTGGGGCCGAGGGTGCGGAGAGCCATGGTGATTTCTTTGACCTCTGCTTGGTTGCTGAGAGTGTGAGATGAAATCGAAAGGTGGATTTTCGAGCACGTACGAATAGAGAAGACATGGCGCGTGAGTGGGTGGCTTCAGACTGACGTACTTGTGCTATGCTGGGATTTACGCCTAGGTATGAGATATCCTTAGGCTGCATGCGAGAAACACTTCACCAGGATCCAATGCTTCCTTATAATGTATCCAAGAAGCAAGTTTCTCGATTCTTCTCACCCGTAACTCTACTGTGATTGCGTGTTGAATCGTTTTGCTATAGACTAGCAAGCCGTGCCTTCCTAGCGTTGAGCTAGACCTACACGCATGCCTGAACACTTTCTGTTGGAGACCAGGCCCTGAATCACACATGCGCCAGCGGCAATAATGAGCAGCGCAGAGCATCTCGCAAGCTCATTCGGAGCATGAAAGGTTTCCGCAAGGGAATGTGATTTCAGCTGAGGGAGAAGCAATAGGGAAACCTTGGGTGAGTTAGCCCCTTGCGAGCCGAGAGGACACACCTATCAAGTTTTGCTTCTCTCCCCAAGTCGAGTTCTCGTATACGCAACCGGATCATCTTGAGCCGTTAGCCCATTCAGATCAACATCAGGTGGTAAAGGGGCCAAAAGGAGGGAGGGGAAAATCGCAGCGATATTCGACACGTCTTGGCAAATACCTAGTCCGTCGTCGAAGACCAAAGCAGAGCACTCGTAATCTGGGCCTTGAACACCTGTCTACGGCATACGAGTTGAGACGAAGCTCTCGATTGCCGTTTGGCGCGGTTGGGCAGCGAAGAATTGGCAACACCATCCTCATCAGCCCTATCAACCTTCAGTTCTCGAAACGCACATAGCAAGCTCAAAGCTAGGTCGGAAGGCTATTCTATTCTAGCGGAAGTGGAAGAAAGGTTCTCCGATTTCTGCAATGGGGGCTGAGAGGGTCCCAGACATCTCCCAACCGGAGAGAAGGTCTTTGAGAGGACATGACGGTCAATACGGAGCCATAGTTCGGTATGCGGTGTGGAGTTGCGTTCGGGTTCAGAGTCAGACATGGTGAGCAGTCGGCTCTCCGAGAGTTCTTCCAGGCCTGGCACAACCCTGCCAAGCCATAGAACTATGAATCCGTAATCTATATCGCGACGCTGTCGAAATGAGGATGTAGCAAGACGTGCTAAGATGTGTCGCTACGTCGAGCGGCGTCTGAAAGTTGAAATGCGACTGCCTGAAATGATTGCGCGTCTCATAACGTGATCCTTGATGGGTGGAAGTGGAAGTTGATGGCCACTCGGCCAAGGAGCGCACAGCCTCCCAGCTTGCCGATGATTGTCCGGGCGTGACGTTGTGCCTGACACTGCCGCGCAAGTGCAGCGCAGCCATTCTCAAATAATCCAGAACTCTTTTCCTACTGTGCTCTGCCCATTGATTCCCAACTGTGCGTGAACTGCGTTTGAGCCTCAACATTGCTTGCAGTCGCCGTGGATAGCGCGCCCAGGAAGCATAGACCAACAGACGGAGACCGCCTGAGAGCGGGTACAGTCGCACAGAAACAACCTGCAACATGGTATGCCCAGAGAGATGATGATGCTATGCGGACTTGGCTGAGAATGCTACAGGGTGTCACGAAACGCGCAGGGCGCAAGAAAGATGCTGCGCCGGTGCAAGGAGCGGGCGCGAGCGGCGGTCAACCACAGATCCGAAAGGCAGCCTACGAGGTCACGAAGAAGAAGGAAGTAGGAGTGTCGGATCTTACACTGATCAGCAAGATCTCGAACGAGGCCATCAACGACAATCTGAAAAAGCGATTTGAGAATGGCGAGATCTACACATATATCGGGCACGTGTTGGTGTCTGTCAACCCCTTCCGTGACCTTGGAATCTACACCGACCAGGTCCTGCATAGCTACCAGGGCAAGAATCGACTAGAGATGCCACCGCACGTCTTCGCGATCGCCGAGAGCTCATACTACAACATGAAAGCGTATAATGAGAACCAGTGTGTGATCATTTCTGGCGAGTCCGGAGCAGGCAAGACCGAGGCCGCGAAACGAATAATGCAGTACATTGCGAATGTGTCTGGAGGCCGGGACAGCTCGATCCAGCAGATCAAGGACATGGTGCTGGCAACCAACCCGCTGCTCGAGTCCTTCGGAAATGCCAAGACTTTGCGAAACAACAACTCGTCGCGATTTGGAAAATACCTCGAAATCCAGTTTAATGCCCAGGGTGAGCCGGTCGGTGCGAATATAAACAACTATCTCCTAGAGAAAAGTCGGGTGGTCGGTCAGATTCGAGACGAGCGAAATTTCCACATCTTCTACCAGTTCACGAAATCAGCGAGCCAGGACCACAGGTCGAATTTCGGAGTACAGCAGCCATCGACGTACTCATATACCAGCAAGAGCAAGTGCTACGATGTGCAGGGCATCGACGATGTGGCAGACTTCAAGGACACAATCAACGCTATGAACGTCATTGGTATGACCAAGGCGGAGCAGGACAACCTCTTCCGAATGCTGGCCGCGATTCTCTGGATTGGTAATATCTCTTTCAGAGAAGATAAGGACGGCAATGCGGAAGTGGTCGATCAGAGCGTGATCGATTTCGTGGCATATCTGCTCGAGGTCGATAATGCTCATGTGAACAGAGCTATGACGATTCGCATTATCGAGACGCAGCGCGGCATGCGAAGAGGCTCTGTATACGACTCGCCCATGAACATTGCGCAAGCCACCTCTGTTCGAGACGCTCTGAGCAAGGCCATCTACAACAACATGTTCGATTGGATAGTGCAGCGCGTGAACCAGTCTTTGAGAGCAAGAGGTGCGATTGCGCAGAGTATTGGTATTCTTGACATCTACGGCTTTGAGATCTTCGAGAAGAACTCGTTCGAGCAGTTGTGTATCAACTATGTCAATGAGAAGCTGCAGCAGATCTTCATCCAGTTGACGCTGAAGGCTGAGCAGGATGAGTATGCTGCGGAGCAGATCCAGTGGACACCCATCAAATATTTCGACAACAAGGTTGTGTGTGAGTTGATCGAGGAGAAGCGACCCCCAGGTGTTTTCGCTGCTCTTAACGACGCTTGCGCCACGGCTCACGCCGATCCAACAGCTGCCGATCAGACTTTCGTGCAGCGATTGAACGCTCTCTCCGGAAACCCGAACTTTGCACCACGACAAGGCCAATTCGTCATTAAGCACTATGCTGGTGATGTGAATTATGCTGTGGATGGCATGACAGACAAGAATAAGGACCAGCTGCTGAAGGATCTGTTAAACTTGGTTGGGCAGAGCTCAAACGACTTCTTGCATACCCTATTCCCGAATCAGGTCGACCAGGACAACAAGCGACGACCACCTACCGCCGGCGACAAGATCAAAGCTTCCGCAAACGACCTCGTGGCCACCTTGATGCAGTGCAAGCCAAGCTACATTCGAACAATCAAGCCAAACGAGAACAAGAGCCCTACCGAATACAATTCGCCCAACGTGCTGCATCAAATCAAGTATCTCGGTCTGCAAGAGAACGTGCGCATTCGAAGAGCTGGTTTCGCTTACAGGCAGACATTTGACAAGTTCATCGAACGATTTTACCTTCTATCGCCGAAGTGCAGTTATGCTGGTGAATACACATGGACAGGCGATGCAAAGTCCGGTGTGCGGCAGATCCTGAAGGACACTTCAATTCCAGCGGAAGAATGGCAGATGGGTGTTTCGAAGGCGTTCATCAAAACTCCGGAAACTTTGTTCGCCCTTGAAACCATGCGAGACCGATACTGGCACAACATGGCGATTCGAATCCAAAGGGCTTGGCGAAACTATCTCCGATACCGAGCCGAGAGTGCCACAAGAATTCAGCGCTTCTGGAGGCGAAAGACGGGTGGTCTTGAATTCTTGCAGCTTCGTGACGAAGGTCACAGAGTGCTTCAGGGACGCAAAGAGCGAAGACGGTTCTCTCTCGTGGGCTACCGACGCTTTTTGGGGGACTATCTTGGTATTGACAATAAGGGAGGTACCGGTGAACTTCTTCGGAGCAATGCTGGCATTGGCTCTGGCGAAAGGACATTCTTCTCTTGCCGAGCAGAACTACTCGTATCGAAGCTCGGCCGATCCAGTAAACCCGAGCCTCGTTTCCTGGTCTTGACCAACCGCGCAGTCTACATTATCAAGCAGGCTCTTGTCAACAAACAGCTACAGATTATGGCAGAACGGACCATACCGATTGGCGCCATCAAGTATATCAGCACGTCGACTTTGAAGGATGACTGGTTTTCGCTTGGTGTGGGCAGTCCACAAGAGCCAGATCCGCTGCTCAATTGCGTCTTCAAGACCGAATTCTTCACCCAGCTAAAGCATGCTGCTCGTGGCACAGCCCAACTGCAGATCGGCGAGACGATTCAATACAACAAGAAGCCCGGGAAGCCCGCGACTATCAAGGCTGTGAAAGACCCACAAGTGCCAAGAGATGACATGTACAAGAGCGGCTCAATCCATACTGGTCCTGGCGAGCCACCAAATTCCGTCAGTCGTCCAACACCAAAGCCCAAGCCTGTGCCTGCGAAAGCAATAACGAGCGGGAAGCTGCTCAAGAAGAGCACTGGTGGCAAGCTGTCGCAACAAGCTGCGCAGCGGCAAGGAAGATCTGTTCCAGCTACACAGTCTCTACCAGGCGCTACTGCTCGACCGGCGGAACGAATAGTGCCTCAACCTATCCCGCAAGCGCGACAGCCTGCAGCAGTACCACAACCCGTTGCCGCTCTGTCTAATGGCGTCAGCCACGCCAGGACTGCATCAGCTGGTAGAGCAGTACCTCCTCCCCCACCACCACCTCCTCCTGCTGCCGCGCCACCCAAGGATCCCCAGTTCAAGGCCCTCTACGACTTCGTAGGTCAGACTGGAGGCGAATTGAGCTTGGCAAAGAACCAAGTCATCTACATCACTCGAAAAGAGAACAATGGTAAGTATTGCCCTATTGAAAAGTCAGACGTTGTGCTGATCATTTGCAGGTTGGTGGTTAGGAAAGCAGCTCGATGGCTCGGCATCAGGATGGGTGCCAGCAGCATATCTTGAAGAAATCAAGCAAGCGCCTCCTCCAGCTCCGCCACCTGTAGCATCTCGACCTCCGCCTCCGCCGGCTCCAGCAGCCAACGGCGGGTTGAATGGAGGCAAGAAGGTCCCGCCAGCACCTCCGTCGAAGCGTCCTGCAGGACGAAAGCCTGCTCCAGCTCCTGGTACGCCACGAGATAGCGGCTATTCAAATGGCGGTGCCTCCAGTGGGAATTCAGGAACTGCCACACCGACTGGTGGAGGTGGCAACCTAGCCGGTGGTTTGGCAGCAGCACTGAAGGCTCGACAACAGGCTATGAACAAGAACGATGACGACGACGCTTGGTAGATGTCTGAATCTGCTGCACTGGGCGTCAGTAGGCTTTAGTGAACTGGTAGCGCGGCGTTGAGTATCCCGGGCGTTTATAATGTTTCTGAGCGGAACGTGGATAGGTATCATAGTAACGGAGAATCAAAGAGATTCGAGATGCAATCGCCTATTTGCAGAACCCCCATGTCCATCGGCCCGTTGCTTCCGATGGTCTGTGCGCAAACCCGCGCTCCCGTCATCTCAGGAGGAGTCGCGTTCACGAACTTCGTCTCTGCAAACTTCATCGACAATTCTCATGCGTTCACGCATCCTGCCAAGCACTGTGAGATCGTCTCTTGCATACTCCGGACCTTCCGTGAAGCTACCAGCACAGCCGACTTTCGTTAGCAAAAGACCATGGCTTTGGATTCAGCAACGCGGCGCCAAGAAACAAACGACCATCAAAGCGAGTGCGCTACAACAGGGAACATCAGCTCCATTACCACAAGATGAGGTCGAAGCCACACCAGAACGGACGTATCCCACCGTCTTGCAACAACATCTCAACAATGTTCGCAAGTTCGAAGACTGCGTCGTGCTCACCCGAGTGGGCGACTTCTACGAGATGTACTTCGATCAGGTAGAAGAATTTGCTCCTCTGGTCAATCTCAAGAAAGCAAAGAGATCCACAGTACTAGGCGATGTGCCCATGGCCGGCTTCCAACAATCGCAGCTCGAGCGCTATCTTAAAATGTTCGTCCAAGATCTTGGCCAGAAAGTGGCAATCAGTGAGCAAGTACGCTTGCCAGAAAGCGAGCGTGTTGGCAAAGCTGGAGGTATGCTTTTCGACCGTCGAGTTACAAGAATCGTGACCGCTGGGACTCTGATCGACGAAAGCTTTATGGACCCATTCGAGAACAATTATCTGCTTGCGATCCATTTCGGTGGTGCTCTTCCAGCTTCGTCATCTGATGTTGATCGCGCCGCTTTTGAGAGATATAGGCGCAGCACAAAAGTTGGTTTGAGCTGGGTGGACTTATCAAGTGGTGACTTCTTCACACAGACCTCAGATCTTGCCAGTTTGCCCTCTGCCGTGGCCCGCATAGGTCCGCGCGAGATAGTCTTGGATGCATCTATGGAATCCGTTGACCAGGTTCAACTACAACGATCAATCAGCGACAGCAACTTATCGATACATTTTCACGGCGTCAAGGCTGTGCACGACTCGGTCGCAGATTGGTCTTCAATGCTCGAGCGACCTGTGGCCGCAGAAAAGCAGTCTGAATTCACGGCTTTCGAGATCGCTGCCGGCAATCTCGTGCTCGACTATGTCCGGAATCAGCTGATGGACGTCAAAATTCAGCTGCAACCGCCAGTGAGACAAACGGACGAGGAATATATGGCCATTGATAAACAGAGCCTGCGAAACCTGGAGGTTCGAAGCACAATTCGAGATGGTGCCTTTCAAGGAAGTCTTCTGCATGCTATTCGTCAAACGGTCACAAAAAGCGGCGCAAGGCTTCTAAGCAAGCGTCTTGTAGCGCCGTCAATGTCGTTGTCAGTCATAAACAGCCGATTGGACCTAATGCAAGAAATGCTTTTCCACGATGCACTCCGACAAGACGTTGTGGCTCTGCTTCAGCGCACGCACGATATATATCGACTCTTGCAAAAGTTCTCGGTTGGCAAGGGTGATGCTGATGACCTTCTTGGCCTGGCTCGGACGGTGGAAGTGATGCGAGAGATCTCTGACCTGCTGCACCAGCACATACTGGCTCATCAAGATCGTGCGAATGAGGAGAACGACAACTTTGCAACTCAGGACCTCACATTCCTTTGGGACATTTTGACTCGCGTTGATCTCGAAACACCGACCAAAGTGGCCCGCAACATCCAAGCTGCGATCGATGAAGAGGGCTTGAATCAGCAGCAAATCGCCGAAGAGGCATCAGAAGCTGAAGCAGAGCAAATGGTGGAAGAAGTCACTAAAGCAGATGAAGCCGGCACCAAGTCACCGAAGCTCACCCGCAGAGCCGGCAAATCCCAAGCTTCAAATATGGCTGAGCAGAAATCGGAAGACATATGGATCATGCGCCGAAAGGCCTCGCCAACTCTTGAGCGAGCTCATGGCGATCTAGACAAGTTGCTAAGAGCAAAAGAAGAACTTACGTCTCGATTGCAAAAGGAGCTGCGAGCACAGAGCCTCAATCTCAAGTGGAGCGCACAACTCGGCCACTTCTGTCATGTCAAGGGAAAAGATGCGCAAGGCTCGATTTCAGCGCTTGCCGGAGCACGAACTATTGGCTCCACAAAGAGCACGAAGTCGTTCTATCTGGCTGACTGGACTCACCTTGGCGTGCGCATCGATGATTCCAAGTTGCGAATCAGAACTGAAGAGGAACGAGTCTTTGGAAAGCTAAGAACGGAAGTGCTTGAGAATCTGATGAAGCTCCGTCGCAATGCTGCCGTCCTTGACGAGCTAGATGTGGCTTGCTCGTCCGCATTAGTCGCGAAAGATCGTGCTCTCATTCGACCCATTCTCAATGAAAGCACGACTCATCGGATTGTAGGAGGACGTCACCCAACCGTTGATGCTGGACTGAGAGAGCAAGGTCGGCCATTCACGTCGAATGATTGCGCGGTCGGCGACGAAGAGAAGATTTATCTCATCACAGGCCCAAATATGGCTGGCAAGAGCACGTATCTCCGACAGAATGCCCTCATCACGATTCTTGCTCAGGTCGGCTGCTTTGTTCCAGCCGACTATGCGGAGATTGGTCTGGTCGACAAGATCTTCAGCCGTGTTGGCTCTGCAGATAATCTGTACCAGGACCAGTCAACCTTCATGGTCGAAATGCTTGAAACAGCAGACATCCTGAAGCAAGCCACTCCTCGTTCCTTCGTCATCATGGATGAGGTCGGTCGCGGTACGACACCCGAAGATGGAATTGCTGTCGGCTATGCATGCCTCCATCATTTACACAACGTGAATAAATCTCGAGCTCTCTTCGCGACACACTTCCATGCTTTGGCGGATATGACGAGGGACTTTGATAGTCTCGGATGCTATTGTACCAATGTTGCCGAAGAAGCAGACGGCTCGTGGTCATATGTCCACAAGCTTCGTAAAGGCGTCAACCGGGCCTCGCATGCGCTCAAAGTTGCGAAGCTGGCCGGTCTTCCGGAGGGTGCCATTAGTGTTGCTGCTGAAGTGCTGGCTGAGTTGCAGCGGAATCAAAGCTCGACTCGCGATCACCAGGCCACTCTGCGCAATGCGCGCGTCCCAGGTCCACGTCTTGCTGCTACGGCTGGATGAATTTCCATCAGCTGAGGTTGAAAAACTACTTGTGGTCCTCCTCCGCCACATCTTCATTATGTACGGCTTTGCGAAAGCCAACATCTTGTAGACTGGATTTGGATTGATTCAAATCGCATCGGATGTAACGGCGAACCACTTCACTCCATAGTTGCTCAAACCTATCGCTGATCTCCTCCATGTACAGAAGTCGCGTTGCGGTTAGGAAATCAGAAAACTCGTGCTCCGTGCTATTGGCAGTTTTCTCGGCGGCTGAGTGAAGCTCGCTCATCTCCTATCTTGACAGTCTCAAACACAGCTGTTGCGCTTGCCCTCATCTTGCCAAAGTCGGGAGTCCAGGACATAGACACTGCACGTATCGCCAGACTCATTCTGCATTTCTCGAAGCACTTTTATGCCGGATAGTATTGGCAAAGTAAGAGTGAGCCGAAGCCAATACCATGAGTCTCATTCATGCCAACCTCACGAATCTTGGTAGCGAAGCGTGCTACATACCTCAAACCATCAACGCCTTCGCTGAAAACACCGTTGCGCTTATGACCTGAAACCATCGGTGGCTCTGCATACCCGTCATTGTCCCATCATACCAGATATTTGTAAGCATAGATCCAGAATGGTTAAATGCTCGTCGCTTCCATCTACCAATCTCTTGTCGGTCTCGGAGAAAGTGAGCATTATCTTGTTCTTGGCACCGTCGCCCACCGTCTCGTCTCCAAGCACGATCTTATCGTACAGTTGAGAGACGATTTGTGTTGCCGACCAACCTTCAGCGACCAAGTCCTCCACTGCTTGAGCTATAGGTCCATAGGGCGCTCTCGATTTCGGTTTCGGTGTCATCGCCGTCGTGAGTCGCTCAATTGTGTTGTTGGGGATGACGCCTGCGATCTCTTCGATGCTTTGGACTGTGATAGGTGGCGAAGGAGCAGCATCGATATCCATGGCGTCGGCGTCATCATCATCCTCCTCCACCTTCGTGCGTTTCCGCTTCTTATCTGGTTGTGTTGATGCTTGCACAGCACCGACTAGACGTGCTGCAGACTGTAGGAAAGTGATGGCTTTTCTCAGATCGCCGTCACTACAGCGAAGTAAGGTGTTGGTGACGCCTTCCTCGAGGGTCACATTCTCAAGCCTTGCTATATCCTCAATTCGTCTGCCGGCGTTCCCTTCGTCGAGCAGCTTGAAGCGGAACTTCGAGCATCTCGATGCAAGCGGGTCGATGATTCTCGTGACGTAGTTGCAAACCAAGCAAAAGCGGGTGATTTTGCTGTATGTCTCCATTGTCCTTCGCAACGCTGACTGTGCGTCTTGCGTCATGCTGTCTGCCTCATCCAGAACGATAATCTTGTACGGAGGGCAAGGGTACTTCTTTCTATACTCTTCTCCTGCCGGTCCCGCTGGCGGATTTGACAACTGCATTCTCGCGAAATCTTTGACCTTTTCTCTCACGATGCTAATGCCTCGCTCATCAGATGCGTTGAGTTCCAGCACTCTGGACTTGATAAGTTCAGGGCCATAGAGCTGCTTGGCCAGTGCCAGCACTGTCGAGGTCTTTCCGGTTCCTGGAGGTCCATAGAAGAGCATATGTGGAAGGTTGGCGGACTGTAGCGTTCGGCGGAGCACTGTGACTGTGTGATCTTGAGCGGCGACATCGTCGAGAGACTTCGGCCGGCTGAAATGCTCAGTCAACACTGTGATCAATGGTAATGAATTGTAGATGAACATACTACTTCTCAACCCATGGCTGAAGCTTATTGTCCTGTGTCAGCGCTGTGTCTTTCGATGAGGAGGCAGCTTTGGCTGCAGCCGCCGCTTGGCGCGCTCTGTTGTCGAAGAAACTGTTCATTGTGTGCTGTATACCGTCGGATGGGTGATGGCGTGGTCGACGCGTCGTAGAAGTCGCGTTCCACTTTCCCTCGCGACGGGCTAGACAGGCAACTGCAGCCGAGCGGCGGCAGCGTCACATCGGCTCGGCAAAGAGGTGCATCTCCGTTCACTTCATGCTGCTTCTCTCACATGCTTCCACGATGCTCTACAGCCTGCCGGTTAAGCTCACAACGACATACCGCCTCTAATGAGCTCGGAGCAATGCGTGATACTACCTCCCGAAACAGCGACAAGCTATGAACCATGAGTCTTCAGCCTCCGCATCAAACGCTGCGCCATCGAACAGTCGCGATGGTACCATTATCACGGAGAGGCCGCTTACGGTCAAGGAGATCGCAGAACGGAGGAAAAAGAATAGGGACAACTTCAATAGAAAGCGCGGAGCATTGCTCGATGATCTCCTTGGGCAGTTGGACATACTCGTGTTTGCCGAGCTGAGCGCGATATATTACATGGAGTGAGCCATTGCGCCTGCTTGAGACTTCTCGATTCATATACTAATCATGGCCAAAGCTGTTCCTTCCTCCGCTTCGCTTTACGATCGCTGGCACATTTGTTCTTGCTCACGCCGAAACCAGCGCAATTCCCTAAGATGTCGCCCAGTCCTCCGATCATTGGCACTATCTTTGGCACAACTCTGCTATGCATCATTATGCATCTGTACAATAGTCCGCCATCAGCTGGAGAGGCGACGAGAGGATATCTGCATGGTGGATTAGCTATGGACTTCATTGGTCAGAAAGGGCCGAGCAGCAAGGTCCATCTTATACTGCTGGATCTACTCGTGCTCTTGGTGCAACTTGTGCAAATGTCAGCACATCTATTACGTGAGAGAATTAGGGCGAACTTGGCCTCTTCGGCGGATAAGGCAGTCGTGCCAGCACCCACGCAACGCGTAGAAGATGAAGAGAGGGGAGTTCTGCGATCCGCAGAGCAGCAACGAGGCGAAGACATTGAGATGCAGAATCTCAATCCAGATGGTCAAACAGCAACATCGAGTTCGCCGCCGGAAGAAAGCGAAGAATCTTCTGAACGAGCATCGCTCTTGGCGCAACCACAGCGAACGGATGCGCATATCTTCGATGCTTTCAATTCTGGTCAGATCGTGATTGCCGACTTGGACATTGCTGGGGCTGTGAGACAACAGTTGATGGCATATCGCAGCTATGCGCCTGATTCAGAAGGGATAGATCGCGGTCGCTTGTTGCGAGAAAGAGAAGCTGCAAGGGCCCGAGAGTGGCGTGATGGGGTCTTGCGTGCCATCAGAACAGCTCGGCAAAGGGCACGCGGTACACCGGCAAATGTGCCTGAGCCATGAACACGCTCTGCCAATAGAAGGAATGATATTTGTCACCCAGTGAGTTCTCCTTGGCTCAGCCTAGCTCCAACCAAGCAAAGCTCGTAGTTGGTATTTGCCGAAGCATGTGGGTGCCCTACAGCCGTGTCTCAAGATTGCAAACGAACATCCCGACCGCAGTCGGTATTCGAACCTCATGACTGAAAGCCGGTCACTCGCTGGAGTGTATGAGCCAACATAAACAGAAGCTCGCGAAATGTCCTCATGCCCAGAGATTTTGGCTGAGGACTCCCGCTGATTCAAATGTTATCCGGTTTTCCAGATTGCCCTCTCGTTGCTCTCGTCCAAAACTGTCGAATATCTGGTTCGTCCTCGAACTTCTCGGCTGCCATACTATTTCACAATCGCTCATACACTACTAGCTCTACAAGCGTTCCGTTCTCTCCTCAGCGATGAAGCTCTCCGATTTGGCAACAACGGTGCTTTGCGCCGGTGCAGCGGTAGCCTCGCCGCGCGGTCAGCGACAGAGCGAGTCGCTTGCAAGTCGTCGGTCATTCGCGAAGACAGGTGAAAAGTTCAGCGAGCAAGGTGGCGCGCTCTCTCCTTAATGACTGTTCTAATCTCACTATTCCAGCTGCAGCCCGTACTGATAACCTCACAGGAGCAAGTATCACTTCAGACGAAAATGGTGGAAGGGCGAAGAGCAGGGCGTGGGCAGGAGCCATCCAATCGGGCGCCAACATCACAGAAGTTCAAGGCACTATCAGAGTCCCACTCATGAGATGCGAGGGTGGCGCTCAAGAGTGCTCCGGCTTCGCCTGGGTCGGTATCGATGGAGAGAACTGCCCGGAGGGTTCACTTCTGCAGACCGGCATCGCCTGGTTTGGTCAAAATGGAAATGTCAGCGTAAGTTCTGCGAAGACAGGTTTAATTCAGGCTCACTTCGCAAAATACCATGGCTGACGCTTTTTGACTAGTACAAAGCTGCTTTCGAATGGCTTCCAAGTCCGGCGAAGTACTTTGATATCGCGTTGAACCCTCAAGATTTCGTCACTGTGAAAGTCACTGCTCACAACGCTACGTCCGGTACTGCCTATATCAGCAATTTGTCTACCGGAAAGAGCGCGTCGCACAACTTCTCTGGTGAACTACTACTCTGCCAAAACACTGCTGAGTGGATCCTGGAAGATTTCACTGTCAAGTCTGCAGACGGCACACCTGAGCTGGACAATTTCGCCAGATTCAATGATATTGCTTTCAGCAATGCTAGCTATGTCCATTATGGTGGTATTTCCGGAGACTTTCAGGGAGCTACGATGGTGGATATGGTGCAAGGAATGCAGGGAGAGACGCTCCTCGTTGGCTGTGAGATCATGGGGCCGGATGCTGTTCATTGTCAGTATGCGCCTGGGGTTCAGGCATAGTTTCCAAGCCATTTCGATTCACTGGAGGCACTGAAGTAGTGAGGGCAACGAGATGTAGCGTTTGGGAATTTAAGAGTTGGCAAAGGAAGATGTTACCTAGGTTGGTAATGCACTTTCTTTCTAGCTCCGGAGCTAACCAGAATCGATCCACGCAGCTGTTCAGGATATTTGGCTCCGATACTGTCTTGGAAAACCGTGAAGACCAAGAGACTGCTGATGAATGAAGTACAGCCTTAAAACATGTAGCCGTGCTGTCGCAACGCCCCATTGGCGAGCGCTCATCTCATCTCCAGCAAGCGTTGCGCAGCATGCGCCCTTTCCACTCAAACCCTCTGAATACATCTCGCAACGGAGTCAAACCGCTTCACCCACCACCACACAACCCCGAAACGATCTATTCCATCCATATAGTCCCGACAATCATCATCATAGGAGCCATAACCTTGAGTCTCGAGAGAGATTGACGACATCCTGCTCGCCCCTTCGGGAGCAATTCCTTGCTCTCACAAATGAGCAGATTCAACGCCTCCTGGGTACTCTGGCACCCCTTCAGTACGTCGAGCTTAACCGAGACAATTTCCGGGGAGACTCTTGGGTCCACCTTGCTCTCCAGACTGAATGTACAGTCTAGATGCTTTGGCTTGAACTTGTTCGCGATTTTCAGTAATTTGTTCAATTCGGGAGCTTGCTGGTAGGAATCTGCGAAAGGGCGATGTACCTGTACATCCAAGTGCAGTAGTACAGCGCAGTTCTTCGGACCGATGCTTTTGAGGAAGCGTTCGAGGATCTGGACTTCATGAGTCTGATTCTTCTTCTTGCCCTTAGTCTCAGGTCCAGGTCCTTTCGAAATGACGAAGTTGTTCACGGCGTAGAACATGGCTGAACTCTCTTGGTTGATCTGCTTGCAGGTGCGTGTAAGTGCTGTTGCATTTTTGGCTCGAGTCGTGAGCCTATTGGTGGAGCTGTCAATTGTGATGCCGACTGCTTGGTCTTCCTTCTGCTTCAGAGCGAGCTCGTAGATCTCGTTGCGGAGCTCTGCGGAGAGCTTGTTGAATGGTGAGTTGTCCATGGCCTCTGAACCAGGTTGGCGACCTGGGTATCTGAGTGTGTCTGTTCAATGGCGTGAGAAGTGCAGGAAAGATTAGCGGAGTGGCTTGCGCTTTTTATAGTGAGCACGGGTGCACGGATATCTCATTCCGTGTGATTCACTCGTGAACGCGGAGCGCACGTGAAGGAAAGATTGTGGGAATTGCTTGTGCTTCTTAAAGTGAGCACGGGTCACTAATACCTCATCCGGTGTGATTCATTCGTAAACTCTGATTCACTCGTGAACTCGGAGCGCACGTGAGCTCGGACCGCATGTGAAGCTTGGCAGATGGGCCCTTTTTCCCTCTTGCTTTATCTTCTAGGCTTCAACCTCTCATTAACCTGCACAACAAGATCACTACAAACGCTTCCAGCTTCGTGTGCGGCACTAAAGCTACGCTCACCGCCTCGCAGACCGACGCCACAAAGTAGCGGATCCATACGGAGCGGCCTAAGCTTGAAGCAGAATCGTAAGCCAACCTTGAACATTAACGACTCGATACGGCCCGCGCGACTTTGTCGTCAAACTACTTTCTGCCTCCAAGCAATCTCCCCCACAACTTCTCGCCCCTCGTTGACATCTCAACTTCGCTGCCACCCTGAATCGAGGCGCCTTCACCACGCGACTCAAGCTTACATCGCAAAACTCCGGCGTATACCAAGGCGACACCATGGCTACCTTCATTGGTCTACCGCTTGAAATGAAGCTCGACATTTTCGGCTGTCTTCCAGCAAAGGACGTTCAATGTGTGCGCCGCGTCTGCAAGACTTTCCAGAGGGCCATAGATTCCAATACACTGAAACTCTCGAGAGATATTTGTGCGCAAGAAGCGGCGCGCATCACCGCCGACGTCAAGTACCTAGTAGACTAGGACACCAGGGAGGTGAGCTTCGTCGAAGCATTACGTCGGTGGTGCAAGCATCGTCCAGCTAGCAAGGAGGGTCTAGCTCGAATGCACGACCGAGATGCCTTCGGCCACCTTTATCATATGAACAAGTCCACTCAGGACGGCTCATTGAAGGACTTGGCCGACAACTTCGAAACGCATCTGCATCACCCCTTTCTACTTCAACATCATCCGCTATTCGGAGTGTGCGGCACATTGGCGGAAAGACTTACGGATCTCCACGCATATCTCTATGGTCCTTTCGATGTCAAAGTCGATGAGTGGCTCTTTGCGTCCAGAGACAACTTCGTGCAGAGGGTAAACTGGGCATATTTCGGCGTGAGTGGCGGCTGGGCATCGGAGATGTACGATATACTGGCCTATGCTCCGATTCTTCAGGCCGAGTGGCGAGACCAAGATCAGCACGTCAAGGCCTTTGAAGCCTGTCTGCCCTTGACTACGCTCAAACCCCATCAGTTCTACCGTGGTCGTCGGGTCATTGAAAGCTGCGCCGAAGCTCGAGATCGCGGTAGAGGCGTCATCGCCATGTCAGAACTCGTTCGGGTGTTCGACGTGCCGGCTTTACCCTCAGAAGGACACTGCGCTGGAATAGTGGCGTATTGCGTGAAAAGCAAGTGGGCAAGAGATTCTGTCGAGAACGGTCAGTCCCTGAAGCCATTGGAGAAGGCTGCGGTCATGGAGGAGATTTTTCTGTTTTGAGTGCACCATCCGCCACGAAAGGGCTAGTATCGCCTCATGGCTAGGCGCAGGATAGAGTGTAGCTCCGAGAAATGATCCTACTGGTCTTAAGATGGCAAGCCAGAAGGCGATGCACGAGCCTACCGCATCTGGCCAGCGTTCAGGGAGGTCGTTGGAATGCACGACTCTGCCGCACAGTTCGAGCAAGGATGGTTGACTCGCAGGCAGCACTGTCGTCTCGAGCACCCAAGCACGGAGCGCATTTTGCTATTGAAGACAGAACCTCCAGTCGTAGGCATATCTGTCAATCTCTTCACTACCGCAGATTGCCCGTAATCAGGCTGCAGGCTGGATTTGCTGGCCCAATGCCCAAACTCATTCACAATTCGTTCTCCTTATTCAGCTCTTTCTTTCGGGTCGCTCCATCGTCAACGTGCCCAAGACATTACTCGTGCTCGCTGGTCTTCGAAGGTCGCGAAATTCTCGCCCGCTCGCAGAGAACCAATCACAACACCCTCTTAGACTGGCCACTGGCTTGTGAGATGCTGCTCAATGACCATGATACGTTGAGATCTCGGGGCTTGAGCCGTTCTCCGTCGCCGTCGCGTTTGGGCGCGTTCCTTCAGGTATCGTGATCACGTTTGCGATCTATACTTCCCAACTCAGCGAGCATAGTCGTCGACACCGCGCACCAGGCCGTGAATTTCGCGATGGCTGCCCGTACTTGATCCGCCTTTTCCCATCGCGCTGAACGTACACGCAACAAGCTTGCGCGGGTACCACGGGTCCACGTAGTAGTCTCAAAATAGCTGGAGATCAAGGCAGTGGTAGTGGGTCGCGGACCTGAGTCCGAGCCAAGCATGGGGAGAATCCCGACTTCATCTCTTCGATACCACCTTGTGTATTAGTGATTTCAAGCTTGTATGAATTCTGTAGACCTTTCGAACCGCTTGTTCGTTCAAACCGCAGTGTATATGGTCATCTGAGACACGTAAAAATACTTGACAAAGATGTTCCCGCCCAGATGGCGACCGAAAGTCCTCAACTAAACGATGAGAGGAGAAGAGCTAGTATTGGAGAACGCATGATCTTTGAAAAAGGAAGATGAGGCATGCGGTAGAGATTGCGCGCTCCAATTTGGAACATGAACACTGGTGTCGACCCCGAGAGAGCGGTCTTGTCGGAAGGAGAGCTCTGCTGGGAAGACCTGTCAAGATTCTGCCGAGAATACTGCTTTCATGGCACAAGATCATGTCGCCATTGTGAGGTAGATTGCAAGACTGCGGCGCGAGGTCGGTGCCACTGAACCGAGGATGCTTATGCTGCGTTGACGCTCTCTGACGGTGAAAGGTGTTCTCCGTCACGGCCATTCTGGCGAGGCGCGGTCTTCGTGCAGCATCTCGATCGGCCGGCCACAGGGCATACATCTGGAGAAGGGAGTGTTCCATTGCTATCGTGAGTGTCTGATGCAACATTGATCTACGGAAACTATCGAACTCTGATTGCGACCCCTGAGACATTGGCCGCCGGCCTCATTTCGAGCCCTTCATACTCCTCCTCCTCCTCCTTCTCCTCTCCCTTCCCTTCTCTCCTCACGTTCCTAGCCCTCCTCCTCCTCCTCCTCTCCCGCTCACCGCTCTAGGCAGCAGCCGTCAGTCGTCGTCAGTCGTCGTCATCGTGCTCACGAATACGCAGCGGAAACCTCTTCAACGGTTACACAAAGGAGCTATGGCCTTCATTTCACTTCGATTCAGCTCTGATCCTGTGCTCTCATTGGCCGATCGAAGTGAAGAGCTTCTGCTTTGCTGAACCTAATCCAAGTTGTGATTAGAGAGCGGTGCAGACCCTGAATCTCATCTATTTAAGAAACCTTTTCTTCCGCACAAACTTGAACTTTTTCTCTCCACTTCCAACCAAACAACCATCTTCAACAACCATCTCCTTCATCAATCATCATCCACTTCCATCAACAACATCATCAACCATCATCAGCAACCATCATCAGCAACCATCATCAGCAACCATCATCAACATCATCAAGGTATGTGCACCACCCTCACTGACCCTCACCCTCACTGACATCGCGCAGACTCTTCATCACCTCACTACCAACAACCCATCAAGGCACGCACGTGCAGCGATCATCGCACTCGATCCAACTGGTACGTCGTCACTCACTTCTCACCAACTTTCTGCCGCTGACTTTGCATAGATTCGAGCTTTCCATCAAACACAACTGGTTTGCTCCCTTTTTGCGCCTCTTCGCGAGACTTCTAACATCAGAGCAGCGACAACATCACACGCGACATCGTCACGCGCTCGAACCGCGCCTCACCACCGAAATGCGCGCCCACAACATCACCATCATCAACTCACCGACCCCACCAAACCCACTTTTTCCCCAAAACGGCAATCTCACCAACTTCACACCGATAACAACATCCCACCACACAACTTTTCACAAACGACCGATTCCACGCCGACCGATTTCACACCGACACCTTCAAGCGATGGCAGGCACAGGCAGCGAGAGGCACACGAGTTTTGTAAGAGACGGTGGTGGCGAGAGATCCAGCGAGCAGCGAGCACAGGCATGAAAGCGTGGTGGGGCGGTGGCAATGGGCATGAGTTCAAGAAGGATACAACACACGGTACGACCTTTGCTTAGCGCCAACGGGTGTGGCATTGGATTCCAGGTACAACTCCGGCGCGTGCGGCGTCTCTAGCAGGGTGGCGTTCGAACGTGGGTATTACACCCACGCAGCGTTCTGCCTTCATACCTTCAATGGAGATCAGTGCAGCACAGCCGCGATATATCGTCGCGACATCCACACCGTCAAAAAGAGTCATCTGCTGGGCGCCGAGTTTAATCAAACGGTTACTCGGTCAGGTCAAAGGCATTTCGATCTCTTGCGGCACTGGTCTGTACCCTCTGTGTTTTGGCGTAATATGCGGTAGCAGGGCATTTCTCATCGACACTCACGACAACAGCCACTACATCAGGCACTCGACTTGGTATGGTAGGGTGGATATTCATGCTCTCGCTGCTCGCTGGTCAGAGGGCTGGTGGCATTCGGTGGCATTTGACAGACTTTCATGACTTTCATGGTTTTCTCAGGCAAACTTTTATGGTGGCATTTGGGCATTTGTACAGCGATATTCGGCTGGGTGGTGGCGTCATTTTTATGTAGTGCTCTCTCGTGTGCCTTGGGTGGTTCTCAGAAATCAATATGATTCAAGTCAAACTCGTTCAATTATCTCATTAATTTCTGCTTTCATCCTCGTCAATTCTTTTTCAATTCTGCTTGAATATAACCTTTTCGTGCCTTCTGCAAAAATTAATCTTCATGTGACGACCCACTTTTCCATCCATATCGAGTCTTAGCCCCACCCTCACTGCTGTACTTTCCTTCAGATGCACAACTTCCACGCAATCTTCTGTGCTTTATATTTCTAGAGACATCTACGTCTGCGGTTAAATGTTGTCTACTTCTGCGGCATATCACCAACGACCATCAGCGCTCGAGTCGTCTTGCAGTTTCTCCAACGACTACGAGCAAGCACAGCGTTCTTCCCGCGAATATTGAGCTCCATATCGGCGCGATCGGCTCGCTCTGACTCAAAATTCAACCTGACAACTCCGCATCTGGACAGCACCGGCATCTACTCCAGAAGATCATAAAGACGAGCCGCGGCGACCACGCGCTTAACTAGTCGCACTCCCATTACCGCAGCATGCTCGCGGCTGCTATGGCTGAGATCACCGACCTTCCGGCTGAGCTGAAGCTCGACATCTTCGAACGCATTCCAGCTCGCGATATTCAACGCTGCAGACGGGTCTGCCGGGACTTTCGCGACACGATCGGTGCCAACACTCCCGCTCTGTCCCGCGACATTTGTGCTCGCCAGGTGGCGCGACTCACGGCCAAGGTTGACTATGTCTACGACTACGACCCCAGCCAAGTCACTTTCTTGGAGGCCCTTCGTCGATGGTGCACGCATCGCGGTGTTCCCCTTGAACAGCACATGCGAGCGCAAGATCTCCGTCTCTTTGCTGAGCTCTATCTCTTCAATTTCTTACGACACGGACTAAAGGCAGATCAAGTGTGCTCTGAGCACGATGTCACCCTCCCATTTCCGGCTGATAGTGTCGCGGAAGCTATTGTTAATGCCCTTTTGGATCAGCTTATCTGGATTGCTATTACAATGGTAGAACTTCTTGTTAAGAAATATAAGCCAGAGGGATTTCACTCCTTCAGTACTTTCCAGGACAAAGTATCCTTCGCGGACGATCATGAATGGCAGGATCTGTCTTCTATTCCAGAGTTCGGTCGAGCATGGGCAGAAGAAATTTTCGAGACGGCGGCTATGCAACCAGAGCCTCTTGGTTGTACATTTCGGTTACGACAAGAGCAAGAAAGTACCCTCCACAGCATTCTACCCTTGAGCGAGCTGAGAGCGTCTCCATTCATCTACAGAGATGGACCTTATCCGTTCAGCGCCAGGATGGATACTCACCAAGGTATTTCCACCGTGCCCGAGCTGGTGCGCACCTTCGAGGTCCCATTCTTGCCGTGGCGGCACTTTGCTGAGCATGCCGTCACTTACTGCGTCAAGAGCGATTGGGCTTATACCGAGATCGAGCGTACTCGGTCGCTGGAACAGAAATTGCGACTGGAACTGCTAAAGAAGGCGGCGATCCTGCAGGACATATACATTTATTGAGCTTCATATGGTCTGTAGAATGGGGTCTGGTTCATGCGCAGCCATTGGGCTGATAATACCACTTCGATTTAAGACGCCTCGGAAAGGTGACAGAGGCCCGTATGGATAGCAACACGAGCCGGCGGAAATGACGTTTGGTCACCAAGAGATATTTCGAGAACATAAATCTCGGTAGGCAGAGGAGAGAAGGCAGCGGAGAGTTGGTTTTGCGCCCAAGATCGAGACGTCGAGAGATCCCGAAGTTTTTCATGTAATCGAATTGCCAGTTTGGGTATTCCGCCTCTTGCTAAATCCAAATTCCCCTTTCTATGCTCCAACGTGCTGCTCGGATAGCGAATAAAGTGAGTTCGTACGCAGGCGATCCGCCGTCTCTTGTTCCGGAAAACCCCTACAGACCTCAGTTCGGTCTCCTCTCCGCAAACTTCCTCAAATCATCTTTCGTTGCCACGCCCAGCACAAACCTCCTCCCGGGATCCGTCACCACCGCAAAGTCACTCTTGTGTCCACCAAATTTCCCATCAAAGAATGCCTCCAAATCTTCAAGGGGTGTTTCCATCGTAATCAGCTTATACTTTTTGCCTTTCCTCTGGAATTTCTGCATCACTTTCTCGACCGGATCTGATTCTTGAAACTGCTTGGTCTCAAGGAGCTGCCGTAATCGCGGCACCGACATGTAGCCAAGGAGAGTTTTGTGCTCGTCGATCACGGTCAAATGGTCATAGTCGCGTTCTAGCGCAGACATCATGGCTTCGAATACTGGCGTAGTGGGTTTTACTGAGAAGGCGGCGGAGGGATCGAGGTCTTCTACTACGGCCTGGAAACATTACACTGTCAGTATGACCAATGGTCTTGAAGTACCACTGTATCATTCCTTATAACAAACGTAGTGATACGTACGCCGCGATATTTGCTGGCCCAGGGACTTGTGCTTTCTCTTGTTGTTGAGGAGCCTGCAGCTTCATTGCTTGGAGCTGATAGCCCTGTCGTCGCCATGGTGGAAACGCTGCCACTCTTGCGACTATGCACTCAAGACGCAGCAACGGTACAATTCCTCGGCCTTCTCAATCTGGTGGAGACAAAACGACACAGCCTGATCAGAGTTGCAAACAGCCTACCGGAAGCGCCGTCGTTGTCGGAGGCGTATAAAGTCCTATACTAGCGTCCGAGCGCCTGACCTATAGCTGACCGGGGCTTCCGACCTTGTAGAGCGGCGGTCGGCGTAGATTGTATACGCTTCCGCTCCTACGCGTCGACGCGTACCGGTTTGTTTAGATTATTGTTTTCTACCTTGCTATTATACCTTACTATCGCTCCGCGCTATCGTTTCTATCTCTTCTATTATTTAAATTATACCTTTAATGTCTTCTAATACTATATTAATTGCGGACTACCTCGGAGGAGGTAGGGATAGGGATATACTAGCATCGTAGGTATAGGGTAACTTCGCGCTAGGTATAAGATTATAACGAGAGTAGAGTATAGTCGGAATTACTAACTTTTCGGTAGATAAGGAAGAAGAGGACGATTTAGTCGATTCTAGTAATAAAAACGCGTTAGTATCCTTAGACTATCGCCGCCCTCGAAAGTCTTAAGTTCTAGTTAAGCTAGACTCGTACTACGCGTCCTTACTATATATCGATAACCTCCGTAAATAGCGCGAATAAGCTATTCTATACGGCTTCGACGACTCGTTTAAGGTGCTAGTAAAGCAATAGTACGCGTTGTTACTATATATTAATAATATATAGACAAAGAACAAGGACTATATCGAGAAGAGTAGGCTAGAAACGACGTATTATATTTGCCGCTTTCGTAAGTAACTATACTAGAAGTTAGATAAGACTAAAGGGTATAGTACGCGGCGCTTTAATAAGAAGATTAAACGCGCGTAAGGCTGCCCTATAACGATAAAGGTATATACTATATATAATAAGGATAATAAGTCTAGTAAGCTAGAGATTGTCGTATATCGAGTTTAGCGTATAAGCCGCAAGAATTACTCGGACTACTACTAGTTAGATAACTTCGACCTCTTCCGCTAGTATAGCGCGTTATTAACTACTATAGGGTACGAGGTATACTATAGATATAAGCCGAGTACGGTATAGAAGACATTAAAGGCTTAGTACGACCTAGTAGCGAATACGCTATTTAAGGCCGCTAGCGGCAATTTTATAATAAAGTACGACGTACTTAATTCTAGTCGCGCCTTCCGGAAGGTATATAAGGATAGAAGGCTCGGCGGCGCGTCGCTAGTATAGCAAATATAGAAAGAAGATATATTCGAGTAGTATTAACAAGGTTAGTTAATCTTATTATTATTATTAAGCTAGGGCGTAAGGTTAGAAAAACAGCTATACGGACCGTCGCGCCCGCGTATCTAGACTCCGATTAACTAATAGATCGACGCGGAAGTCTATCTAAGTTATTAGCTTAATAGATAAAGATATTAGACTCGATTGCCTACGAATACTAGATACGAAAGGTAGAATCTCGAGATTCTAAAGTTCTTCGCCTAAAGCGGAAGCGCCGTAGAGCCTTAGCTTCGAGCTAATAAGATAATTTAGAAGCTATAGCAACACCTCGGTCCGGCTTCTAGCGCGCCTTAGTAGACCGAACCCTAAACTTTAGGATTCTTTTGTTTATATTTGCGGTTTTCTATTATAACAATTACTAATATATTATTATAGAAGGGCTATTTTGCGAGAATATAGAAGCTATACGCTAAATCGATAAAGAGACTACCTACGGCGTCGTATATACTAGCAAAACTAGTATAGAACTACTTAAAGCCTATTATACGATCGCGTTTATAGACGTAACGTATAAGACTAATTACCTAGGTTAGTTTCTTTATACTATTATAGTAAAGGATAAATATACTATTTCTCGTATAGCGGTATATATACTCTTACCTACTAACGACGGCGATATTATTACAGAGTTTTTGCGTACTATAAGTAGGTAAATAGGCGGTATTTAGGTACCTAAATTCCTCCTTATAGACGACTCGGTAGCCGAGCGGCGCGTAGTTTAAATAGCATTTACGACGACAATATACCTGCTATACTACGTCTATGTTTAGCGTACTATCGATAGACGCTTTAGCGCGAAAATCTACTAAGAGACATATAAACACCTACGCGCCGCTATAGTATACTACCGCTCGCTCGAAGGCGCGAAAGAGTCGCTCTAGGCCGCTATCGATAACCTCCCCCGAAATAGCGATTACGAGTTAAACTATATATATTTAGTTTAAGACTTCGGCAGCGATATTCGCCTATAGGCAAACTACTATTGCGTCTATAACGTGCCTACTATCGTTAGACAATATAAGGATACTAATATAAATAAGAGCTTTTACGCGTGTCTTAAAATAGATAGTAATAAGTCGCTAATAGCGGCTAACTTTATACTAATAGGCGTAGCTATACAAACAATATAGAAGGGCGAGCTTAGAGACCTTCGGTTAGATATTACTAGTAAGCGTTAGGCATTAAACGTATACCTACTCGCGCGCAGCGACGACGACAAGCTCTAAACCTAGCTTCTACGCCTTCTATAGCCTATTTAGCGCAAGATTAGTACTAAGATTAATCGCGTTCTTAATAAGTCTGTATACTAAGACCTAAAGCCGTTATTAACCGAAATAGGCGCGCTTACCTACGACTATAAATTCTTCCGCTAATATCGCGTCCTTTATACTAACCTCTAGTATTATTACCTTATACTTAAACGCGTTATTATTAAAGATTATTACTAGTAATAATAGGTTAATATATTTGCTAGATATGCTCTCGAGGTCTGCAAAGAAGACGCTTCTAAGTCGATAGTAGTATAAGAAGACGCCGCCGCCGCCGAGGTCGTATATATGCCTACCTATTAATTAAACGTCCGCGAGGTACTTACTAACGCGTACGAGTTAATCTTTTAACTCGAGCGCTTATACGACTAATAAGGTATAGACGAGAGCGATAAGCAACGCGAGGTTATTATCTTAAAGATACTAATAGTCTTCTATAAGAGCGGCGACAATATTAGGAAGGGCTTTACTAACCTCGTCCTTACTTACTTTAAGAGCACTTATCCGGAAGCTATTCTTATACTAACAAAAGCGCCGCCGCCGAAGCTATTATAAGCGCTATTACTAAGCGATATTATATCGAGCTATTACCTTCTAAAAGCGACTAATATAGCGCTACCGCTAAAGAAGCAGAAGGGTAAGAGCGTAGATACTACGAGTAAGAAGCCGAAGCGATCGAAGAAATAGGTAGAGAAATAAGTAGGGTAAGAATACATACCTAAGCGAATACTAGCGGCGCTAGCTTAGCTAAATTTTAGTAAAGAAGCGCTATTAGTAGTTCTAGGCGGTATCGACGTGTTCTCGTCGCGTTTTCCTTTAAATTCCGCCGTTACGTAGGTCGCGTAGGTAACTAATAGCTTCTATATATATTACGGGTAAGCAACGCGTACGTAGATACTAGATATAAGACTTAATAGGTTCGATAAAGAGCTAAGTCTATCTACGTAAATCCGAATAGTTTTGTACGGTACGCTAAGCGCTAAGTAGTAGGTTAGAGTCGCGTAGGCCGAATGCCTAAGGCTAGCGCTTTCTACCTAGGGCGTAGCCCTTTATATTACCCCCGTCCTCCTCCCCTTCCTTAGTAGGGATAGAAAGCCCTCCGTAGTTTCTATCGCTATTACTTTATCCGTTAGATCTGTACCTATCTAAGCTTCTCTAGAGTAACGCGCTCGTAGTTTCCTCCTTTGCGATCGGGGTTTCCGCTGCTTTCCGGTCGGGGTTACCGTACCTAGGGTTTTAACGACTGTAACTTTCTTCGCGACTGCTAAACCGCGCTCTTTTACCTACTTACCGCCTTCTAGAACGCGCCGTAACTGCGCTTTTAAACGCTTTACTTATAATCGCGCTTTCCTTTGCTTTCGCGACCTTTACTTCGGCGTCGCCTTCTAGGAGTATTAATATTTCCTTCTTTTTCTTCTTCTTCCTCTTTTCTTTATATATAACTCTACTACTACTACTACTACTAATACCGTAAGTCCCTCCCCTTCCTCCTCGGTTCCTTTCGCAAAATTAACTTATCCTAGATAGCTCGCCGAATTTACTACGTTAGTTGCTATAACTCCGGCGAAGACTACGCCGACTAATCTATAAGGTTCCCGTCCGATTTATCGTAGAGTCCGCTAACCTTTCTTAAGCCCGCTAGCTCGAGGGCTTGCGCTAATTGCGCTTATAAGAGAATTGCCTACGCCCTACTATAAGTTATCGCGATTCCTATATTAAATCTCTCGCTAACTATTTAGTCCTTAAATAGCCTACGTAGCCTACGCTAGCTATACCCGCGCGATCCGCGCTAATATCGCCGAGAAGCACTCCGAGCTTCTTAAGGTTCTTAAGGCCTAGAAAGCCCTTAAGTCTCTCTAGCCGTAGGGGTTATTATCTAGGTAAAATTCTCCGTTCCTCGCGATAAAACCCTCGCTAACCGTTTGTTTTAGCGCTGTCGCCTCGGAGGTAACAAACACCGTCGCTAATATCGTAGCTTAATAGACTTAGACGTAAGTTCCTCGCTACCCTTCGACTTTCTCTCGCTAACCTCTCTTTTTTAGTAGCGTTCCGACCGCCCTCCGTCTCGGTAACAATCGTCTAGGTCCGCTAGAGGAGTGAAGGTTTCCGTAGGTTTTCTAGGGGTTTCTAGGTAGCTTCGGATATATTATTATTATTTTTTTTTTATAGTCCTAAGGTAACCTTCTAATTTCGGGCGGAGACCCGATACTTACTTATAAATACCTAAATGAAATTCTTCCTAGCTCTAAATTATGTTTCCCTTCTCTAGTATTCTAGTAATTCTAAGTCGAATAAGTTAGTAAGAAAATCTAAACTCTAGAAGTTAGCAAAAGTCCCTAGAATCTATAAATCCGTTATTCCGCGGAAAAACTCTAGGTTACTACGTTATTTCTTCCGTTTTCCTCTCTTC